CTTTGCAATTTAAAATGATGTGTTTTCATTGAGTTATGAAAATCAACAACAAAAAAAAATTGCCCTAAACTTCAACCGTTAATATTTAGGTTAGGTTTACGAAAAATCCGTAAGAGACCATTTTGTGAAGCATTCAATTTTGTAAAAAATCTTTGAAACGAGATATTTTTTCAGGTAAAAATTGAAAGCGAGATATGAATTTTTTTATTTGATAATAAGAAGAAAAGTAGAAAACAGTTAAGCGGAGGACCTTCCCGTTACAATTAAGAGCTCATACTTGAATATATGTGTCTATCAACCAATTTTTCAGAGTACGAAGCGAAAAAAATATTATTTTTTTTGACCCACCCTAATATATACATAACTGTTCAGATTTCTTTCGACCTGCAAGCCTTGTTACATCTGTAACGAGAAATCTACAGTTAGTTTATGAAAGCAATAGCATTTACTATCTGCCTTTAGGCATTTTTTTTGTCCTCTATTTTATAATTATAGGCCATTAAGAAAGAACAACAACAATTAAATTTCACATAATTTTTTTTATTTTTTATTATTTATGACTACAAATTACCACATTTAGCAACTGCTTCAAAAATACTGAATAGAATGTGTGTGAAAGTCGAAAATTCAAAATAAATAGCAATAATGCAAAAAACCGCCAACTACATTTGTTGTTTTTAATAAAATTTAATAAAATAAAAAAACGGTAAATGGAAGAAATTTTTTAAGTGAAGTTAAATTGTTGAATGTGAAAGCGGCTGATGGCTTGGCTGATAGCGAGTGTGATGTGTTGATGGGCATGTGATAATGCGTTTTCAAAGCAAATATTACAACAAAAAAAGTTTCGTATACACACACGTATGCGTGTATGTTTTTATGTATGCTTGGTAGCTTAAAAATTTGCTTTCTTACACAACTTTTTTATACAAATTATTATCTTTTGCTGTAATTATTTATATGCAACTATATTTTTTGTATTTGTAAACAAATTTGAAAGTGATATTTAGTTAATTAAATTATTTACGATAATTTAATTTATAATTTTTTATTAATTTAATTTTTCATACATATTTATTTACGCACAATTTTCTTTTCCATTTCAAATTTCATTAATGTAATTTTATTATAATTATTATCATAGGTATTTATGTATGTATGTATGTATTTTAAAAGGCTAGCTACGTCTAAAAACTAAATATTATAATTGATATTTTTTAGGCTTAATAATTTTCTTTTTCCATGAACTAATTAAATAATTAATTATATTTTGTATTCAAACAATTTACTTATATGCTTTTAATTATTAATTATTTATAATCATGCAGTTTAATTTTTTTTTTTTAATTTATAGTTTATCGAAGAGCAGAATATTAACTAAACACAATCATTATAATTTACACAGATAAACACGCACAATTTTTATTTTGTTTATTAATTTGTGTTTTTGTTTTTTGTTGGTTTTAAATAACTAGGCAGGATTAATACATATGTAAATATATATGTATATATATTTTTATATACTTGTTTTAAATAGTTCAACATATACATATACTATGCACTAATATATGGTATATATATATATACTAGAAGTTGGGAGATAAAAGTAAACCGCAACAAGTTAACCAGTAGTAGTACACGAAAATAATGCGCAAGTATGTGTGTATATATGGTATAATTGGGATGAGGTGGGAGATAGAAGCACACAGACAGTTGTGTGCGATAAAATGAGCATTTATGGATGGGTGGGTGCAAGAACTTGTTTAAAAAATTGCAAGAAAAATTAATAAACAAATTTTTGTAAAAAAAACATTGATAAACCAAAATTGTAAAAAAATTTAATTAAAAAAAAATGTATTAAAAAACAATTTCTGTAAGAAAAATTAATAAAACAAAAAAAAAACATATTTTGTTAGCAGAATAATAAAAAAAATTTCCAAAAAAAAATTGTAAAAAAAATAAAATAAATGAATAAAAATAATTTTTAAAGAAAAATTAACAAAAAAAAAATTGTTTTTACATATATGTTTTGTAAGAAAAATCAATAATAAAAAAAATATTAAAGAGAGAGTAATAAAAAAATGACTTCGGAAAAAAAATTTTAAGAAAATTAAATAAAATAAAAATTTTTTTAAGAAGATAAAAAATAAATTTAATTAATTTATTATTACTGTTGAAAAATTTGTGCAAGAAAAATGAGGAAAAATAATGAGAAAATCAATAAAAAAAAAACAGTTTGGATGAAAAATTTTGTAAGAAAAATTAATAAAAAAAATAAAACTTCTAAGCTGTATTGTACGCGCTAGATTTGTTGAAAAATTGTGTAAGAAAGAAAAAAAATATTTTCTAAACATTTTTGTACAGATAACTCGCTAAAGTAACTTATAAAGTTTGATAAAATGAGGAGAAAACAAAATTTTTTTGCATTTCAGAGTGATTTATAGAAAAAACAATTCATACAGTTAACCTAAAAAATATTAATTTTAAAATTTTTACATTCAGAATTGCATTTTAGAATTTTTTGGAATTAAAATTGTTTTAATTTAAAATAGAAATGAGCTTAAAACACTAAGTCGAAACAAATATATATGCATTTAGCGTGGCGGATCACACTTAGCAATATCGTAGAATTTAAACACATTTTTTTTATTTTTGAACTTCAGAATTTTCTTGAGCTGAAAATTATTTTCTAATTAAAAATTGTAAAGTATTCAGCTTTAGTAAGCTATTTTTAGTACTTTTTATGCAGTCAGGCACTAAAGTAAGCATACTTATAATCACAAAAAAGCTTAAAAATCAGAACCAAATTAAATTTTATTTTATTTTTGAATTTTAGCGCTTTTTTGAATTTAAAATGCTTTTTTAATGGAAAATTTCGAAGTATTAAGCTTTAGCGAATAATTTTTAGTACTTTTTATACAGTCAAGCACTATAGTAAGTGTACATACAATCAGAGCTTAAAACCAAAAAATTTTTAAATAATTTTTTTTTTAATTCAATATGTTTTTTTTTTGAATAAAAATATTTTAAATTGTAATAATAAATATTTTATAAAAAAAATTTTTATGTTTAAAAACTTTAAACAACTTTGCTGTATACATACTTAAGTGACTGACTGTATATATTGGCATAAAAAAAAGGATAAAAAATGATAAGTGCTTAAAATAAAGCAAAAGAGTTTATGAAAATATTGTAATAAAATATTGATAGTAAAAAATAGCATTAAAAATATATGTAAGTGTAATAGAAAAAAATAATAAATAAAAATTTTAATACAAAAGGGTAAAAGAACAACAACCACTATAACTACGAACAAATATTATAACTACAACAAAATTGTTAAATAAATAAAAAATTACAAAAGCATCAAAAGCGAAACAGTTTGAAGGCGCATGCGCGTGGCAAAAATCAATAAAATCTGGCATTTGGTTTAATTTCCATAATCGCGTCGAAAATATATATTTTTTTGCTTATTATGTTTAGCTAGTCCATTATTTTATTATAATAATTTGTTTTTTAAATTTCCCTAAGCGCAGCAGCTATGCATACAAGCCTGTCTATGCAAGTAAGTTTGTTGCTGTCTAAAGTGACAGCATTTCAAATGATCCTAACGATCATGCGCAAGATTATTTAAATTTTAAGCTGTAGTTGTACTCTTTTTCAAACAGTTGCAATACTAATATTTTTTAATTTTTTATTAAACTTTATTTTCTTAATATTTGAATTTAGCATATTTTAACTAATTTAATTTTTTAAGTGCTTGCCAAAAATTTGCTAATTAATAACAACGCGGTATTTGTTTTTGTGTGTACATTTGTTATGTAGTTTCGTCAGATATTTTTTGATAGTTTTGAAAAGTTTTATTTATTTAAGTTTAAGTCAACATACTGTGGCAACTCTGAAATTGTGCATGTTCAAGTGAATTTCGAAGAAATTTTAGAAAATAACGGTTACGATTTACTAAAATATTTGTTTATAATAAAATCTTAATTTTTACAAAAGCAGAATTTGAAAAATTTTGAAATTTGAAATATTTGAATTAATTTTTAATTCATCACTAACGAAAATTACTGGCATAAACTCAATTTGCACAGCTAATATTAAATGAAAAAAATTCTTTAATTTTCATATAAAATATTTAGAAAGCGACTTTCGTCCAAAAAATTCAGGTTATGTAACTCCTTTTTCACATTAGAAATACACTTTGAGCTTTCTAATTTTCCTGCCTAGCTTTCGAACTATACTATAACTTTTTGCAAATTTTCATATGAAATATATAGAAAGAGGACTTTGTCTAAAAAAATTTAGGTTATATGCAACAGCTTAAGTTAAGTTAAGCTTATACTTTTTTGAGATAAAATAGCTCAAACAAAAATGAATCGGCTGTTTTGTGGGAAGTTCGCACACCAAATATACAAAACAGGTGCAGAAAGTTAAGTTTTGAAATACAAAAGCTTAAATATTGCTAATGTTGCTGTTTTCCAAAAACTTATTTCAAGCTCTGCAGTCGATTTGAGTTTTTCATGTGCGACTTAAGTGACAATTTTCGAGAGCTGTTAAAATGTAAGTTAAATAAGCTTGATTTTGAAATATAACTGTTTAAATATTGCTGTTGTTTTCTAAAAGCTTAGTCAAAACTGTGTAGCCGATTCGAGTTTATTTTGTGCGGCTAAAGTGATAATTTTCAAAAGCTTTTGCAATAATCATCTCGAAATGACCAAATTAGGTTTAAAAGCTTTCGATTCCTGTTTAAAAAAATATTCAAAATTAATTTCAAATTTGCTTTTCGGCTACCATTTAGTTTGCCTGGCTGTCATAAGCGATTTTTCTACCGTTTCTAACCTCTTTCTTTGTTCGGGCCACATTGTATGAGTCTACTATTTGTTAAAACAAGCATATAGGTATAAACAAATTACTCACTCTTGTGCTCGTTGCCGAAAGTTTAACGTTATGTTATGTGCCGAAATGCGTTTGCTGACTTTGAAATACAGCCGATTTGAGAGTTTTTTTTATAATGTTGTATGTATGTACGCAGTTTTCTTACGATATTTCTAAAGTCGGACGCGCCTGATTTTGGTTTTTGAGGACGAAAGCTTACTTAATACCGTTATACGCTTGAAGGTTGTATGATTCGTTTTCATTGTAATGATAATGACTTGAGTTGGATGATGTTTTTTGCTGGAGTTGGGTGATGTATGTTATGAATGATTTGTAGGATTTTTATATGTTGATGGTTGATATTTTTATGAAATTTGGTATGTATATATTATATATATATATATATAGATAGTTGACATGTAGTATGCATGTTTGTTTTATGCTTAATTTTTGCCTTTTCGCTGTTGGTTAGTTTGCTAGTTCTTTAGTTGAATACTTGCTTTCGCATACACTTGCTGTTTGTTTTGCTTGTATTTGCTGGTTTTGCTGGCTTACATTTCATTACAGTTACAATTTTTTAGCTGTAGCATGTTTAAATTATGTATGTATGTATTTATTTATGCTATAAATAATTTTATATTTATTATTAGTTTTGCATTTTATTTTAAATTATTTATTATATATATGTGTATGTATGTATGTATATGGTTGCTGCAGTTTGTAGTAGTAGTTGTTCTTGTTGTAGTTAATGCTGTTGCTATTACTGCTTTTGCTGGTTGTAACACGAAATTTTTTTGTCGCATTTCGCTTCCTCTGCGGCATGCCACACTACTTTGCATGTATGTGTGTGCAAGCCTGTGTGTTAGTGTGTGTGTACGTATGTTGTTGTTGTAGTAGTTAGTGTGTAGTTTGTAGTCTTCTTGCAGCCGGCTTGCGAATCTTACAATTTACGCTACTATCTTGGATTCTTCATGACCACCTGCTTGAAGGCGCCGGTCGGCACGCGCGCTTTCACTTCGTGACTACCCAACGAGGCGGTGCCATCGCGTGCAATGTACAGCTGCAGGCCGGATGCTAAGCGAACGCAAAAGAAAATATATATTTAATTGATTTTTATGACTTAATAACGGTATTGCTCTACTCACTCTCCGCCGATTCGGCTAACTGATCCAATTTGGTATCCTTTAGTATTTCATCGATTAGCGAATTGGGATTGACGCGCGTCTCCTCGACGCGATCCGACACACGTGGACCATCGTCCAGCGGTCCCTTCTTGCGCTTCTCAGCCGCACTCTTCATGCGATCTAGAGATCCTGTTTCACTTATGACTAACGAACCGGAACTGGGGTTCCTGAAGCAAATGTGACGCAGGCGTAGTGGTGAGTAGAGTTGTATGCGAACATAGTGTTGTTGTTATATTGTTGTAATGAAGTTCCATAATTGTTGAGTATCACATTGTAGACGCGTTTTTGTGTTGTTTGTTGTTGGAAAAGAGCATAAAAATAGAAAAAGATTAAATTAGTTTATAAATTTATGAAAAATTTTGTTGTAAATATTGAAACTAACATCTAGGTATGTATGTAAGAATGTATTTCTAACAAAAAAAAATTAGACAAGGAAACATATACATATAACGGTAGAACTCGAGTGGAGTCTTTTCTGCTACTACTTTGCTATGCAAACAGCTACAAAAATTTGTGTATGTGCTTGTAACAGTATACTTGTAGTATGTTGGACAAGAGAAATTGTTCTAAGACAAAAAAAAGTTGATGCATTAGACAAAAAATTGTATCACGTGTCGAAAAATGTTCACAAAAATTATGTAAGTATGTGGCGCAAGTTATGTGGTGTTGCTTCAGACAAGCCAAATGGTGATGCATTGCTAGCTAGTGAGTGGTGAATAGTGGAGTGGTACTTAAGATGTTGAAATAAGATGATTTTCTACCAAAACATTAAACTTATTATAAATAATATGCAGGACAGTAATTTTTTTTACTTACAAAAATATTTGTAGTTATATTATATACAAATGTATAAAAAATATGACATTAATTATTATTTTGAGGTTAGGTTAGAGAAAAATATTATTTTGAGGTTAGAACTGAAAAGCGAACTGAACTAAAAAAAAAAATATTATTTTGTGGTTAGATTTAAACATAAACAAATAACAAATAATATTTAAAAATAAAAAAAAAAAGTTTAGAAACAGTAGTTAGTGATCAGAAAATGGCTTTTAAAAAAATTATAAAATATTTGAAAAAACAATGAAAATATATTTTTCTTTATAAAATGTGAGGTTAGGTTGCAATATAAAAAATGTATGCATTGCAATTTCTAAATTTACATAAAAAAGGTTAGTAAAAAAGATTAATTTTACATTTAAAAATAAATCATGCGTTATTAGTTTGAGGTTATGTTTGAATCTACAATATTTCTTTCGTAATTTTTACTGAGTGAGTCGAAATTGTTAATATAAGTAGTAAAAAATACCCTAAACTGCATAAAAATTTAAAACAAGCCGCGAATTAGCGCAAAATAAGTATAAAGCTAAATTGCAAGAGAAAAAGAAGAATTCGAAAAAGTTTCGTCTAAACTTAACTTTTCGTTAAATATATAATTCAACGGTAATAAGAGACCCTAAAACAGAATAAAAATTTTATCTGCACCGCAATAGAAAACGCTTCACAGCAGCATTTATTGTAACATTAAAGGGTATAAAAAGATATTTATCTTGATTTTGATAGATCAGTTTATATGGCAGCTATATGCTATAGTAGTTCGATCTGAACGATATGTTCAGAGATTATAAAGATGCCTTGGACAATAATCTGTACAAAATTTCGTCACGATATCTTTTCAGGTAAAGAAGTTTCCTAGCAAGGACTCGATTTTGATCGACAAGTTTGTATGGCTGCGATGTGTTATAGTTGTCCGATTTGAACAGTATGTTCGTCGATTATAACGCTGCATTAGACAATGATCCGTGCCGTGTCATATAAAAAAGTTTTCTATACAAGAACTTGATTTTGATCGGTCAGTTTGTATGTCAGCTATATGCTATAGTGGTCCAATCTGAACATTTTCTTCGGATATTGTACCGTTGGCTTGGACAATAATCCATGCCAAATAAAAAAGTTTTCTATACTTGAGGACTTGAGTTTGTTTGCGACCTATTTGTTATAGTGGTCCGATATCGGCGGTTCTTACAAATGAGCAGCTTCTCAACAACTGAGTAACTAGTTCAAGTATATAAAGACGGATGGACATGGCTAAATTGACTCAGCTGGTCAGGCTGATCTTTTACATATGTATGTATGATAGGGTATCCAACAATTCCTTTTGGATGTTACAAACTTTATGGCAAGCTTAATACGGTTCACGGTATAAAAATCGAATCAGACTTACGGAAAGCCGGTTTATCAAGTCTTAGAGCCGAACCTATTGTAAAGTCGATAATCCTACTTGGATTCCCAGGAACAAACCAAATCAATGAAACTCTATCGTCACATTGATTTTTCTTGGAAGTCAAGATTGGATCACTGAAAAAAGTATGACTTGAAAGTTTCCCTGCCGGTGAATTCACCCAAAACGCGTATGAAAGAAGAATCGACTTTCTTTAATACAAATTAAAATTTAACATTAACTTAAAACATTTCATTGCATATAAAACTCAACATCAGGTAAAATAGAAGTTCAAAATTCACCAAACATGCTAAAGAGCGTCAGAATGCCTAAAAATCATAAAACATGCTAGGAAACCTCGAAAAAATTTCAGAAACAGGTATCCGAGAGCATAACATAGATAAGTAAAATACGTTCAAAAAATATTAAAGAAAAAACGCAAAATCGTTCAAGCGAAAAAGCGCACATTCAAATACATAGCCGAGCTCAACCGACACTACTTTCGAAAACAAGCTACAATTACGATTTTACTGAAACAAAAAGTTTATAGCGTTGAGGACATCGAAAACGAAACTAAATTATGCAGTACAAGACTGCCTTGCAAGAAGGCTGCAAAATCATGAAAAGAAGTCACCCAGCGCGAACGCACATTGTAATGCTGGGCCGTCGTATGATTTGTGTGGTCGCGAGCGGTGAAAGAGTGGCGCCCGATGCGCACAACCCGGCATTATTGTTGGCCGCCACCTGTGCCGCCGCCGCTTCGGCCGCAGCCATCGTTGCGGTGGTGAGCAGCAGTGATGCGGCCGACGGATTCGAACGTATGCTACAGGCATCGGTAGGACTGGCCGCCAAAGAGCTCAGCGCATCGGTGGTCGTTGAAGTGGAGGTAAATGCGCCGCTCGCCAAGCGCGGACTATTCGCACCGCTACTGCCACAGCCACCGACGGCGCCACCACCAACACCACTGCCAAACCCGTTATTGCTTGGTGAGCCAATCAACTGCTGGTTGGCGTTGGTGGTGTTGGGTGTGCTGACGCCGCCGCTATCGCTGAAGCCGATGCCATCGACGGTGTCGCTGCTGCTGCCAATGCCCGCCTGTGCGCCAGCACATTGGAAGGTGATGACGGCGCCGCTGCTGCTGCTGCCGCTGGACGAGGATGCCGAATGCGTGGAGTGTATGCTGCCGAGTGTGCCGCAGGGTGAGGAGCTGCTGTTTGCTGCCGACGCCGCAGCGGCGGAGGGCGATGTGTTGGCGCCCAGTGCAATGGATGAGATTTGGCGATTGCTGCCGTCGAGTAGGCGACGCGGTACGCCGCTGAAATTGCGACCGGTGCTGTTCGTTGACGAAGCACGTGATTTACGGTTTTTTGTTTTAACGGTTATTTATTTAACAATTTTTTTTTTAAATTTATTTTTTTGTCAAGGGCGAAGCGGAAAGCAAAATAACGACGGAAAAATAGTAGAAAAGACACACATATATATATTTATAGTAATTCATATGTATAGAAGTGTATATATATACTATATATATGTATGTTTGTTGTATAGACATTGATAAGCATAGTTACATAAGTAAGGTTTCAACACAATAAAAAGCTTAAAATTTGAATTTTCAATAATTATTTGCCATTTAATTTTTTAATTTTATTTAAAGGAAAATAAATTTACAAATATATATAGCAGCTATGTACACATGTATGTGTTTATGTATTGAGATGTGTGTAGCTACTTGCCTCAAAATATGCTTGTGTGTGTGAGGTGCGTGTAAAACGGGGTTTTACTCAAGAAAAAAACAAAAAAAAACACAAAAAAAAATTAAAAATCACCAAAACAAACAAGAAGACAACAACTCATGACGAAAACAGTATTGAAAATTGTAAATTTATAAAAATTTAAAAAAATATTTACGCAGAAATGTATTATGGTTAACAGAAGGGACAATACGCTGAAGTCTTTTGAGTAGGTTAAAACAGTAACAAACATTTTTTTCGAAATCTCGATGACTTTGAAACCAAAATATTATACAAAAATGTAACATTTCTTGTATTATGTGAAAAATAATAGTATATAAAAAATTATATTAACAATAACAAAATAATTTAGATTAAAAAAAAAGTTATTTTTATGAACCGTTCTCACAAAACGGCATAACTTTCATTTAATCTAAGAATGAATAAATTTGTTTATTTTTCAGAAACTAATAACATTAAAAACGACCATACAAAAAAACCTTTCGAATAATTATACATTTCTTAACTTAGGAACGTTTTTTTGTTGCTTTAAAATAGAATTGAGTCTCCTTAGAAAAAAACGTAATTTTTTTTAAATTTTAACTTTTTTAATTTTAATTGCTTATCTTTTTCTTATTTTATTTTAATTTTTTTTATTTATAATTATAAGTTTTTCTTAACTTTTAAATATTTTTTAAATTTAAATTTTTTGTTTTTAATGTTTTAATATGGTTTTATTTAATTCTTCTTTTCAATTTTGAAATTGAGTTTTTAAAAAAAAATAATTTTTTTTTTTCAGTCGTGAAATTGAGTTTTTAAAAAAAAATAATTTTTTTTTTCAGTCGTGAAATTAATTTTTTAAACAAAATAGTTCTTTCTCCTAAACAATCTTTTTTTTTTTTTGAAATGATAGGTATAAAATTTGTTTGCTTTATACACTGTAAAAATTTTAAAGGAACGTAAATATTTATGTTAATAAAAAATTTAAAAAAAAGGTTAACTTTTTTTCAGATAGTTTCACCTTAAATATTAAAAGAAGGCATATCAGTTGATTTAGGAATGGATAAAATAATTTTCAGAATAATACATTTTAAAGAAAAACTAACCAATACATAGCTATAACTGGTCAGAAAAATTTTTGAAAATTAAAAACTGAACTTCTAACGAATATATTTAAGTAAAAAATTATTAAAATAAAAATTATTTATTTAAAAATAAATTTGAAATAATATATTAAAAAAAATAAATTATAATATAAAAAGTAAAATTTATGATATATTATATAAAATTCAAATATAAGCAGTGAATTGAAGGAGAAGTTTTTTCAACAGGAAAAGCATTTACTCCATTTGGTTAATTTTATTTTCTCTAAGTTTTTGTTCAAAATATAAAAAAAAAACCGTAAAAAATATATTTTTCTCCATGTCCAGGTTAAAATCTTTTTTAATCGGTGTCCAATTTATGCACCATTAAAATTATATTTGGCCCAAAACATATTAAAACAATTAAAAAAAAAAAACTTCAGATAATGGGAGTACTCGCTTCGAATCACCTAAGAATCCTAAGAAAAAACGTTTAGGCCGAGTAAATTTAGTAAATTATTTTAATTTTAAAATCAAATTTTTCGTTCACACTAATTTAGCGGAGACCATTTGGCGTGCTATAATAATTAAAAATATTAAACATTATTTCCTCGTTTTCCATAACCCACAGCAACAAATAACCTCAAATTAACTGCGAAATACTCTGCCACGCAACGCCAACGTGACAACGTAAAGCATTTAAGTGCTTTCGAATAATTCACTTGCGATTACAGCTCAATAAATCACGCGACACAGAGTTTAAACGTTGAAAGAAGCAAAAGGGACATTTCGCACACGAAGCGATAAATCAGGCAAGAGCAAAGATAAGCGCTAGGGAAATATGAATGTGTTCACATATGTAACGTATACATACATATGGTATGTACAGGCAACTTAAGGGTTAAGACAATGTTGGAAGATACTCGTATTACATAATGAAGGCGGCAATGAAGGAAACAGGAGAATAATTTTAATCTGAAATACAAGTTCCAGCACATAAAAATAGGAATATAGGTAACACAAGTCGGATACACAATTTTTTTTTTATAATTTTACAAAATTGTCAGAAAATCAGAGTCTTTAATTTCCCGCTGGGCTGTTAGTTATGTAAGTGCCTAGCTATTGTTGCAAGTAGCGCCCTAGCTGAAATTCGCCTTGTGGCCATAAAATCATTGACCCAGTACAATGCAACTCAAAGCTGTATGCGCACACATACATACACACGCACTAACAATTATTTGAGCTTTAGAATATTTTGCGCCTGTTGGTATGCTATAAAATACGCAGTCTGGGTATGACGGCGACAGCAGTGCAAGTGCAAGTGCACCGAGTACCCGAGTGTCATGGCAAAAAATGTGAGCGTGCAAAGAAAAAAAAAACAACAACAATAACAATGGTTGTATTAGCTACACAGTAAATATGAATTTTAGATGTACGCGCTTGTAGATTGCCTTGCGTCAAGCATAACGGAAGCATATCCTTGCTCTAATTTATTTATCTGTACATATTTACACATACATATTTGAGTAGCCTGCAGCAAATTTTTTTCACACATACAATACAACAAAATTGCTATAGTTCAACAAATTTATCTTTTTTATTTTATTATTGTTGACATTTTATTTGCATTCACGCTTATGCTTCGCAGACGGAAACCGCCAGCCACAAAAAAGACAACAAAAAAAGTGAAAAAAAAACAAGTTAGTTTCGGTTGCAACTTAACTGTACTACCCTTCACAAATGAAAACGTTTTTCATACAAGATGTTGCTTATGATCGTTCAGTTTGTATGGCAGCTATATGCTATAGTACTCCGATTTTAATACTTTTTTTTGGAGATTGTACAGATGTCTTGAACAATAATCCGTACCGAATTTCGCGCAGCTATGCTGTCAACTTTTCTATACAAGGCATTGATTTTGATGGTTCAGTTTGTAAGTGGATTCTGACAAAAGAGCAGTTTCAGGGAGAAAAGAACTGTTCAGGGTATAAAAATTTAGAATAAAAACTAAAAAAACATTTACATGGATATAGTTCTAACACGCGCGCCTGCATTTGGTTTTTAAGGTTAGTTGCAAGTTAGTTTCAATGTTGCACATGTCAACAGCACAACACATGTGACAGCCACAGAAGTAAAAATATAACGGTATGTAACAAACTAGACAGCAAAAAATCGAATGGCAATATTAAGTGTCCAACTGCCAAGGTAATGCAATTAAAGGATACACTGCAACAACACCAACACAAATAAATGTGTACAAGCCAGTTGTCATGGCTGCCGCTGTCACTGTCATCGACGATGTGTGGTGGAGAGAGTGTGCTACGCCATAGGTGTTGACAGCTCTACTTGTATATGTACTTGTACATACAAATGTACTCGAGTCTAAAGTTGTTACAACGTGTTTCGAACTGTTGCATGCTACAACAAAGACAAACAGTATGTAGTACTTATGTATATATATTTTACATAGACTTATATAACATAGTTAAACATTATAGTCGCCTGTCACTTAGTGGATATTAATTATAATTGAGTTTTGTTGTTGTACTTATTTCAAAGTTACGTGTGCACCGTAACAATATAAATTATATCTAAAGCCACGCTTTGAGTATTGGTAATGCACTTGATATACTTTCATACGCAGATTCAGCTCGTAAGAGTAAGAGTTTCAACTAAAGAACTATATATAATAATAGAAAATGTTCTCGCGTGGTTCGAAAATTTACCCTTTGGCACGAAAGCACCAGTTGAATCAGCTTAATGTACTCATAGTTACAATTTTTATATCGAATTTTAAGAAACTTCATTGAACACTGTTGGTTCTGAAAATACCAAAAGAACTAATGAACCAAAGTTTTCCCTCAGCTTAGATTTTCATTATCAACGAGCTGAACAATTGGAATTGTTTTTCGTTTGAGAGTTTACAATACCCTACAGTACTCTAATCGTTTTTTATAAATTAAAAATTTGCATACCGTATAATTCTACCAAAAACAAATTGGTGGAGAATTACAAGTTCATTTTTAGAACGAATATAATTATGAGAAAAAAATAGCAGAATATTCATATCTTTAATTTACAAGCTTAAATATTGGTAGGTTTCAGGCAGAAATTCAATATATCTCTGTTATTTCACCGTGGTTCTCTGTTTAAGGTGTGAGAGAAGAAAAATCCTATATCCTAAATCCTAACGATGATTAGGAAATCTTCAAATTTTAAGTATTATAAATTGAACGTTCAAAATATAATAGTTTAATTAGGTTAAGCAATTACAATCATAAGATTGAATTTTAAGAAACTTTATTGAAGACTCTTGGTACTAAAAAATGTTACTTCAGCTTAATTATGGCTATCCATGAGCTGAGTAATATAATTTGTTTTTTTTTTTTGAACGTTTACAATGGCCTACAGTGTCACAATCATTTTATATAAATAATAAATACGATTACTTTTTGATTACACGAAAATCTAATTGGTGGAGAATTACAATTACGTTTTGAGAACGAATGAAATCATAAGAAAATATAGCAGGAAATCAATATTATTAATGTCTAAGCTTAAATATTTGTAGGTTACAGAAGTCGAAGTAAAATTTCTCAATATTTATACGTTAAATCCATTATATCGATTTCTTCAATTATAAGCCGTTGAATGAGCGCCTCACTCACATATATATATTCGATATACATAGATGCATAAAAAATTGAAATAAATAATCCACGCGTTTTTAAAATACATGTAAATTAACAACTTATTGTAATCAAGAAAAATAATGCTATATTGTGGATAATAAGTAATGATGAATGATGAGCTTAAGCCAAAACCAGTTAAAGCGTAACACAAAGCAAAGCGTCTGAACGAAAACGCAACAAAATGCACTTAAACTTAAATAAAATTAAAAAAAAAACAATAAAGTAAAAATACACATATGAACTTACTAAACATATGAGTTATACCAGATGAGTAATTAAATAATTAACTAACCATAAAAAATAAATAAACCCATAAAATACAATGAAAAGGAATATGGCGTAAATGCGTTAAGTTGAAGCAAAAACAAATGCAAATAAATATTATTTGAATAAGTACAAATTAGGTACTGATTACGGATTAAAAATTCGCGTTTAGAAATAGTGATGGAATGTAGTAAGTTGATGCGCCGCAACCCGAATGGGAATATTTTGCTTGTACTTGTATGAATGTGCTATGTACGAGTAAATGATGGAACCGGTTTCGCAACAACAACTGCATGAAAGTGGAACTACCTTAAAGGGCAGAATTTTAACTGCGATTGTAAACTGCTTTGTAATGATATTTGTTGGGCGATACTGTCAATAAAAAGTTACGTGGATAGCGGTTTCAAATTCAATATTTTTTCGAAAAAGCTTTTCGTTCGTGAAGGTGTTTAACCGGTTGCACTAACGTGATAATAAATATTGCAATGTTGGTTTTTCTTGGTTTGATTAAAAATCGTTACAAAATTATAATCGATAACATTTTAGACATTGTTGCTGGTTAATTCGTTGGCAGAGTTTACAAAAGATTTGCATCGAAATGTTAAAATAAAAACACATATTTAATTATTGACTTTAACTTTATAAATTATCGATACTTTTAACGATGCGATTTTTTATTTTGAAATTATAAGAATAAATTAAAAACATATATTTAATAATTTACTTTCTTGAAAAATTACTGATATATCTTTAACTAAATTGATAAGTTATAGATGAATTTTTTCTTTTTTGAAAATATAAAAACTGCTGATTTATTGATTTATAATTAGTAGATTAGACGATGCACTTGAATGGAAAAGTCGGTAATAAATACTTTTATTTTTTCGATGAATTATGGATTAATTTGATAGATAATCGTTTTGATTAAAAACCGATACACTTGAATCTAGTTAGCAGTTATTTTTAATTTATTAGACCAAGTATTGAGTTTTCCAACCAGTTATCGATTTATAAATACTCGATACGCTTCAAACGGACAACGGGCAGTCATTATGTCATTTACAAAAATATTTATTATTTCAGTACACTTAAATCGATATATCGGTTGTTATTACGGTACATTTTTTGATTAATTGATTATTTCGGTAATTAATCGATAATTTTGCAAAATGAACTATTACGATTAAACATTTTGAGACTTTAGAGCATTAGACAACTTTGATCGATAATTATTATATTATCGATTTTTTATGCACTTTACTGATTATTGACAACCTTAAAATCGATTCCGTACTTTTATGATGCATTGAGGGTGACAAACACCGAAGAGATTCCGACATTAAGAAGCAGAAAGATGGAGAATTCGTATATATCGGAAGTGTACTGAGACATTTAGAGCAGTTTCTTTTATAGCAATTATTATTTATGAAGAACTTTATTTGTTCCAGAAAAGGACCAACTAATCGTATTTGCTGAAGATGCGGCGAATGAGGCGTGAAATTTATTTGCATTTGTTACTTATTATCGAATATAATGCGTGTAAAGATCTAAGGCACGCGTACCAAATACTACTTAAGATCCGTGACCCAGTGATATAATGAAAGTTGAGAATTGCTTGTTTGAAATTGATTGTTTAACTGTGCACTTTACAAACCTCATTAACTCGTAGGCGGCGTTAGTCGAATGCGGACGCGCCAGCAGCGGCTCCTGATGACCTAACATATACTGTTGTACGCCGCCCTGATGCAATTCCTGCTGCTCCAACGTTGTGTACTGCGTATAGCCGTGCGCTTGACGCAACGGCGTCGAACTTTTCAGCAACGTGCGACGGTAGGCGCGCTCGAACGGCGTACGCGACATAAACGACAACGCAGTGCTCGGATCATTCGATAACAGCTTGCTCACACGATCGTGCGTATAGAGCTCGGTTAGAGAGCCATGTGTGTGATGTTGTGGCTGCTGCAATGGATTATGGCTATTCGCGGACGGTGAGTCCACGACATCATAGTTAAGTATGCGTGTAACGAATGACGGTGGTGAGGGTTTCTCAGCCGACTGTGTTACCAGCGGGAAATTCGGCTTGCGACCCGAAGTCGGCGTGAGAAATGGGTCCGGTTCGACGCGTTCCGTCACCAAATCCGGTATTGTGCCCATCGAACGCATCTTCTGTATGGGATAATGTGAGCCACGCTGCAGAAACAAGGGCGGTTGCTGGCTGTTTTGCTGCTGCGGCAATGGGCTGTCATCGTTGCCAATAAACTTGGCATTACCCACTTTGTTCTTCACAAACAACTTGCCCGAATTTGTCGATGAGGTGGAATTTTTACGTTGCTGCAAATTGAAGCGATGCTTCTCCTCCAGCGCGCGTTCGCGTATGCGCAGCAATTCCTCGCGCACCTGCTCTTCGCTATAATCATCGAAGCATAAATTGCTAAGCGAACGCATTTTCGGTATATGACCGCCATGCTCGGCCAGCAGCTTTAAACGACGTGGCGAATTGCGATCCAACTCCTGTGAGGCGCGATGAAACTCCATTTCGATAATGGAGAGATTTTCCATCGACTTAATTTTGGCAACGCGCGGCGTATGGAAATTCTCATCCAAACCGGAGTCGTCTGCTGTCTCCTCCGAGCCCGATTCACCGCTACCGCTGCCACTGCCACTAACGCCGCTAGCGCTGCCGCTTTCGTAAACCTGTGAGGCGCGCGAACCGCTGCGGCTGTTGCTCGCCACACTACGATACGTGGGCGAGGGCGTGCTTAACACAAACTTTTCACCGTAAATCGATAGAGAGCTATTGGTTGAGGGTGGCATTTCGTTGAGTGGTGTGCGAAACTCCTCATCGCGTATGGTTGAGTTCGGCGTTTGAAAGAGCAATTCTTCACATTCATATTCGCAGATAGTTTCCGTTGGCTGTTGTTGATGATTCAACGCTGGTATATTAAGCTTCATGGCGTTGACGGTTTTCTGATTGAGTCTATTAAGTAGAGAAACGGATTTGCTGAATCTGCGGTACGTGTGTGTATGTGGGTGGTTTGGTGGTGGGTAGTAGAGAGTTAGAGAGAGAGAGAGAAAACATGGTGCGGCGGAGTTCGTTGGATTTACATTTTTTGTTTTTTTGGTCGTAAGTGCAATGTAGTTAATATTTTCGCAAATTTACATTACATTACATAACGATATAATACAGTACATTACAGTTACATAAGATTGCATTGCGTACGTTCGTTGCAGTTGCGGTGTTTGTGTACCAACACATGTTTTATACCAAACAATATTATTGTTATTGTTGTTTGTGTGTTGGAGGATATGGTGCCCATGATACCAACAATTGTTTCGTTTTACAATTTTTTTTAAATTTTTAATTTACAAAAATTATGAAAAAACATAAAAATAGAATACAAAGAAACAAAAAAATATTGATTAGAGGAAAATAACAAATTGTAAGAAATAATAAACTAAAATTACTAAGCTAAGTGCTGCTGCTAAAAGTTATGCGCCTAAAAGTCATTTAAAAAATTAATAAAAAACTACAAATACAAATATTTTGTCTTAAAATATGCCATAAAATTTAAATAATTATAAATTTTGTAATATACTTTTTTGCCATATACATACATAATTGTCTATAAAAAATTGCTAAAAAATTTCAATAAATAATTTGTTAAATAAATTCGAAAAAAATTGCTAAAATTATTTCAATAAATAAATTTAATTCTGCATGAATCCAAAACCACAATCCAATAAGTAGAAGCAATCAATTATTTGAATTTTGCAAACTATTAAAGATGAATTTTGCATTAAAATTACGCTAAAGAAATTTAAAGCGTTAAAAAATTTGCGTGAGCTAAAGTTTTAAATAAAAGTGGTGAAAAGTGAGTAATATACCAGAAACACTAGTTTTTTCATCAAACGCAAGCACCGACTAAAATTTTTTTTTTTTAAACAAAAACATTGAGTTTTTCACTAAAATTTTTGAGTGAAGTTTTTGGGTCAGAATTTTTTTTAGTGGAAATTGAGTTTTTCCACTATAATTTTTGTTTGACGTTTCTGAGTCAGAATTTATTTGAGTAAGATCTCAAAATTTATCACACTCAAACAAAGCATGAAACTTTTTTATAAAAAAAAAATTAATTAATTTTCGAATCAGAATTATTTTCGAGTGAGATTTTTTTCGGGTAAACATTTTTTACGAGTGGTAAAAAAGCATGATGTTTTTTTTTCTAAAAATTATTAACCTTTCCACTTTCATTTTTGAGTCAGAATTTATTTCAGTGGAAATCGGTTTTTTTTTATCGAAAAGCAACCATGTCACTTTTTCCTAAAAATAAATTGTATTTCTTTTCGGAGTCAAAAAAGTTTTTGAAGATGACGATTTTATCGAGTTAAAGCGAGTTTTTGACTCAGACTTTATTTGAGTGCAAACTTTTTATATCAACGCAGCATGAGACTGAAAGAAAAATATATTTAGTTTTGAGTCAACATTTTTTTTGAGCCGAAAATGTTTTTTGAGCACAAAATTTTTGCAATAAAAAAATTTTTTTTCTGTGCGAAAAAATGTTTGACAACAGCAGCTTTGCCTAGGATATATTCCTACAGGGGAAGCACATATAAAATTAATGATATGTATTTAAGAATTTAAAGTGTTCCTTCTGAGATTATTTCTGTTTTGAAATATTTACAATATCTAGAGTATCTGTATTTATTCACTTTCATTTGAGTTGGGGATTTTTTTGAGATAAAAAATTTCGAGTTAATTTTTGTTTTCAGCCTTCGAAAAGCCGAAACGTTTTTGATCGAGTGGTTTTAATTCAAATTACATCACAGGGAGAGTTTTTCATCACTTGAGTTGATAACATTTGATAATATTTTAGCACGATATTGCAATAATTTCAAGAACGAAAAATCGCTAAAGGATCGCCGAACGAAGGCCCTGTTTACTCATACCAAACCACTTGCCCCTGACCAAAAGTTTCATTAGTAAGCTGCACCCCTAATACTTGGAAAACAAATATTTTAATTATAACAAACTCCAAGCGCACTGATAAAAATAATTGCAACTGCGTGCCGAAGAGATGAGCTCATCGCGGTTGACGCCCAAAATTACAGCACAAATAATCAAAAGATACATACATATGTACTTATATGTACACAAAACTGTTTCGAGTGAAACATTTGCCACATATTCAATATCTTCGCACGGCAGCGTACAACAACAACAGCGAAAAGTCAACAAAATAATTTCACAAGTTAAAGAATTTATTGCCAAAAGCTAAATGCAAATTTGTATGAAATATTTGCATATACAAATGTAGGCTGTTCGTTTTCAATGAGTAACAAATTTGACTGGTTGCCAATTTGGTGTGTGCATTTGGGAGTGACAAACGCTGCAAGCTAAACAAACGCAGAAATAAAACAGTAAACCCTTGGAAGAAATCTTTGGGTTAAGTAATGTTTGGTACTCGGTTGAAAGAAAGCTTATATAGTTATCCTCTAATATTCTAATATATAATAACTTGTTTACAATAACGAACCTGCAAAATCAATAAGCCATTAACTTAAATGAAACACCTGACAATTTTCAATAATTTCACTACAATTACGCGGCAACCTATAAACATTACTTGGTTATTTGTGCAACTATATATCAATTTCAGTTGAAACACATACAAAGCGCATGTGTATTTCTAATATATTTACGCACATTATATGACTTGAGTCATGTTGTCACCTTTGAGAGTACGTCAAACTGTCGCGCAGTGGCCTTAAACTTAACATTGACAAATGTTTTGAGTTCGCAAATATTTTTGTTTTCAATTATTGTTTGCACATAAAATACACTTCAATGGCTTTTTCAGTGTTTTTAGCGCATAGAAATATAATAATAAAGATTTTTGAAATATTTTGAAAATTTCATTACTAATACATATCTAATACATTAGTATAAAGTAGTTTTACTTTTAATTTTTTTCAAAATTATTTCGAATAGTTTTATTATTATATTATAAGAACAAATGTATTTTAATTTTATTGTATTTTTTGTTTAATTTCAAATTAGTTTCAGAATCGAGTTTTATTTAATTTAATTTACATACAATTAACATGACTTCATAATTGTTTTAAACAAAATTGAATTCATAACCCTAACGACCTTAACTAAATTATTTTAAATTTATTTAAATTCAACCTAATTGCTTTCAACTAACTCAATTAATTTTTAATAAATTTCAAAGCAATCAATACAATAATTATATTTATAAATATATCAATAGTATATTATTCTAACTTTACATTCGTGAATCACAGTTCAATTTAATTCAAATAATTTATTTTAATAGAATTTATTTCAACTCAGCTCAATTTATTTCAACTCAATTAAATTAAATTAAATTACATATAATTCAATTAAATTTGATTCAATTCAATTAGCTTTACTTAAATTTAGCATTCAATTTAAATTAATCAAATTAAATTAATTTTAATATTTAAATTAAATTAATTTTAAAATTTAAAGTAATTTTAATTAATTACTATCTTTAGTTTTTTTTCAATTTTTAAACTCAATTATGAATATCATGTGTTTTAAAGAACTTAAGAATTAATAATTCAATAGAATTCAAATAATGTTAGTTCAATTATAGTTCAAATCATTTAATTTCAAATAATTTAATTTTCATTTAATTTAGCATTCAATTGTATTTTTTTTTGATTTTGTTTTTTGTTGTTTTGCGGATGAGGGGGTGGAGAATGTCTTCCGCATCATCAGTGCTGTCCTCATAGCAACGGTATGTAATGTAATATCAAATAGCATCGTTCATATTTAATTCAATTTATTCTCTCTTAGATACAATTATAAACCAAATTAATTTAAATTAATTATTATTTTTAATAAGTTTTAATTTTTCAATTCAACTCCGATTTAATTTAGACTTATCATGTTTTTTATTTTATTTCATGTTATAATTCGATATATTTCGTTTAATTTTAGTTTAATGAAGTTCGATTAGTTATAGTTCAAATTAATTCACTTCAATTTAATTAGTTTTAATTTTATTTAACATTCAATTTAAAATAGCTTCGTTCATATTTAGTTCAATTTATTTCATTCATAAAAAAAATTATTAATCAAATACATTTTTGAATTATTTTAAATTAATTTCAACTAAATTCTGATTTGATTTAGTCTTTATAAAATATCATTATTTTTAGAGAATTTTAATTCGGCTGAATTTGTTATATTTTAGTTCAATTCAATTATATTTAATTTAATTTTGCCTCAAATAAAAATTGATGCAGTATATGTCATTCATATTTAATTTTATTTACTTTAGTTTACGTTTCATTTATATTTAGTTTAATTAGTTTTATTATAAATTAATTTTGTTTATTTAATTTAAATTATTTAATTAATATTTTTTAATATTCTCATTTATATTTAGTTTAATTAGTTTTATTATAAATTAATTTTGTTTATTTATTTTAAATTATTTAATTAATATTTTTTAATTAATTTTAATTTTAGTTCAATTAAATTTATTTATATGTACATACATATATTTAATTTTATTTATTGAATTATTAAATCTTAGTCAATTGTAATTAAATTAATTTTAGTTAGTAATTTTTTTGTATTTAACTATAATTTTTCTATTATAATTATATTAATATTAGTTAATTTTATTTATTTAATTATTGCTCTAATTTATTTTAACTTTTTTATTCATTTTCGAATCAATAAAGTTATATAAATTTTGTTTTTAAGACAATTTAAATTATTTAAATTTTCAATATATTATTTTTATTTTTGTTTACTGTTTTCAATGTTTTCGACTTTCATTTACTTTCTTTGCAAATAAATTGCGTTTAATTTCAAATGATTTAGAATTTTTGTTTTTACATGCACTTTCAAAAAATTAATTGAGGTGAAGAAAATACTGACTGAAGTTTTTCAGCAATAACCCTTATGTAAACGGTTTAACTTTTAGCGAACTCTTAGAATTACAAAACGACGTAAAACCGAATGCTTTAAACTGGAGAGGCTAAATGCTACTTGTGAGCAAATACAACAAAAAAACTATAAATTATAATAATTTATAACTTTTAATGTTCTGTGAAGAAAGAGAAAATTTAGCATAGCAAATAAACTAATTCGAAGCTAGCAAATCGAAAATGTGTAATGTGAAATTTAGTAACAAAAAAAAAACGCTGCTATTAGCAATTTTGTAAATAAGTAATCAAATTTTCATGAAAATATTTTCTAAAAATTCATATTCTCAGCAAAATGTTCTCTAAATAAAAAAAAAAATAGTTATATAACTAAACTAAATGGCAAAAAAATGCTTGCGACGCTAATCGTGGACTCTAGGTTAACCCACTGAGGAGTAAACTTAAAAATTTTCACAAAAAAAAAAAAATTTTTAAAGCAGTTATTTATAAAAAATTAGTATAATAATTAAGCGTTTGACAAGTGTTAATTTGTTATTGTTGTTTTGGTTTTTTCTGCTTGTTGCTTAGTAACTTAGTAGGTGTATGAATGTCAGGTAGTAGCTTAGCAGGTTAAAATTGGGACGACTGCGCGTCTTTTTGTTATTGTTGTTAGTTGAATATATATACTTTTTTTTTGGTTTTTTTTTTGTTAGTGTTGCTTTATTGTTTGTTAATTGTTTTGAGTAGGCATTTGTGTGTACAAAAACAAAAAGTAGAATTTCAAACAAAAATCGTAACTATTTCATACAAAATTTATATAATACCATACATAAACTAAACTCTTATTTGGTTTTTTCTGCATTTTACTTTTGAACTCGAATTAGTTTTGGATGGCAAATTAGTATATAAATATTTATAAAAGAGAGAATTGGTAATTACAAATACAATACATATGTACGTACATAAGAAGGTAGGTAATAATATTAAATAAATAAAGTCTTGTTGTTATTGTTGCAGAGTTGCAAACAAAACGCTTACCTTGCATGCCCCGAATCGCCTTCAGAACTTTGCCGCGAATGTTGACTGTGCGAAAAACTGCTATAACCCGAACCCTTTGACATCTACACACACACATATGCGCACACATGTGGAGAGAGACAGAGAGAGAGAGAAAGAAAAGAGCAAGACAAAGACGAAATATTAATAAATTGCAGTTAAAAACGCACAAATCATTGTGTTATGCTGGCGGCGCACACTCACTTGACTAGTGTTGCTGGAATTACGCGAGTGGCCCATTTCCATAATCGACGACGTGCCAGTAGTGCCACCCAGGCCGCCGCCCATCACATTCGCGCTGGTCGTGCCGCAATTATTGCTACCGACAATGCCCATACTGGCCACCGCGCTGCCACCACCACCACCACTGCTACCGCCGGTGCTGCCAATGCCAGCGTATGGCTGCATTTGTTGTGCATTCGTCAATGTCACGACTGTGGTTGTTGTTGTCGTTGAGCCTAACGTATTTTGCGGTGGATAAGCGATAAATTGTTGTTGTTGCTGCTGCTGTTGTTGCAATAGCAACGCTTCTGTGGTGAGTGTAGTAGCCGATTCGGAAGATTCTGACAAACCGGAGTCCGTCACAATCGCAGCGATCACTACTTGAGGATCCAAATCTGCGTGGCAACCGGAAAATTATTTATGCAAATAAAATTTAAAACTTTAAATAATTAAACTACTAATAATATTTACCATCATCGCGCACGGTGGAGACGGGACGCGTGCTGCTCGCACTATTGAGTCCGCCGCCTAGGGTAGCGCCACCGACACTAACCGGTATGCCTTGACTGCCGCCGCTCACGCTGGACGCGCCACTAACTACACCGCTGCCAATGCTGGGCAACGCCGTGGCGGTGGGCGTCTGCAGGCCGACACCCGTCGACGCGGTGGCCAGATCATCCGTAGAGGGTTTCTGTTTGCTCTTCAAGTTCGGCGTGGGTCTGACGTTATATAAATTGCAAATGATAAAATAAATATTAAAAAAAAAAATAAATATTATCACTTACGCCTTGAAGAGTATATCACCGCTGAGCATGTGCATTTTGATGGATACCAGCAGCATGGAATTGTCCAGACGATGACGCGAGTCATAGCCCTCGAGCAGAAAGCGACGCGACGTCAGCCCGGCGCCGGCGAATTCGGCAAGATTTATATCGATAAAACCTAACTTAAAATAACTACGTCCACCCTTCATCTCCTTGCGTATGGAGATGCGTAAATAGCAGGGATCCAATACGCCCGTGGATGCATTGGCGGACATTTTGCAGGGAAATTCGAAGTTGCGATTCCATACTACACGATGATCGCGCACCTCCTCTCTGTAAATTTAAGTGAAAGGTAGTATTTAAAAATGTATGGGGTTTGTTGGTACAAGGTATTTAGTGTTAAAGCCCCTTCCCGAAAGTTGTTAGACTAAACTAGTTTGAAACAACACGAAACCCGAGAAGAGAGAATGAGAAATTCATAAAATAAGCCGTTTTAGAGATTTCTTAAAGCGTAAGCCAGTGCAGCTCTATGTAATTTCTGATATTTTTGTTCAAGGTATCGCGGTCTTGTATAAACACATATATGTAGTTAAGTGAGTCATTTGGGCTCAAGGTTTTGAAAATTGAGATGCTTCTTTAGCTTATAAAATCTTCTTAGCCCTGAACCTCCTACATGCGTTCATTTGTGGGCATTTTGTGAACACATCTCGAAGTTTTTCAATCGAAAGTATATTCATTAATTAATAATTTGGAATTTTCACTTTTCATTCGAAAGCTTAGAAATTTGATGCTTGACGTGGATATTGTTCGGATATTGGCTAAATTTTGTAGCGAGGACATCAACCACTTTATAAAATACACCTTCCCTACAACATAACCGGACCCAATGTTTCGAAATATTGTTAAAGTTAAAAATAAATTCTTGAAACCTCAAAAACAGATTTTCTAGACTTTTTTACGGTTTAGTTGAAGGAGTTTTCGATTTTAAATTAAATAATTTGGTTTTCATTAAAGAATAGGTGTGAGAGCTAACCGAATACCCACAAATTTTTGCAGAATATTTTGAGAAAACTTACTATAGTTAAGTTAGGCTAGATTGCTGATTACCCAAGATGGCAGAAAATCACATTTAGATTGCTACAGTCCTTTGTGAAGCCAGATAAAACTCCAGATAAAAAACCTTACGGAGCACAGTTGCTGGTAGCTGACCAACGCTTGCCGGGCTGGGCTGAGGCCCAACTATCCAGTAGTGAACCATAAGTAGAAACCGGAGCCACTACTTGACTCCATTCCGCAGCTGGAGACTAAGGTAGCTGACCTAGCAATTTCATCGGCCTTGCAACCAAACCAGTCTAATCATTAAATAACAATTATAAGGAGTCTAGAAATTCCTTCACTAGCCTTAAAGCCACAGTCAGTGAGCTACAAAATTTAGCTAGAACATTATAAGATCGACTATTCGACTATGGTTTCATAGCGCCAAATAATTACTTTTGGAGAGTGACCCCTTCGTTTATCAATAGCTTCTATGCAGCAGTAGAACGCTTACTAAAGTCTTTAAGATGAAAATATATCTTCTCGCACGAAACCTTGAACAAGTCTATAGATCTACATCAATTTGTAGACATTTAAAAATTTTTTACTGTCATTTGATATCCTTTGAATTTGTAGACATAAAAAGTTGTTTACTGGCATTTGATATCCTTTGAATATTCCTACTTTTATAATGCTTGCAGAAGCGGACTAATCAATTATTTAAAATTTAAATTTTTTTATAAATAATCGTAACTTTTTCAATCATATACATTTTGAAATAGAAGAATAATTCGCTTGTTGGTAACTCACCTGCTGCTGTACTCCTGAAACGAGCCACCATCCAGAAGACGTATCTTTGCGAACAGCACCTCGTTCACGAGCGCCACCTCGGAGAGCTCTTGTAATTGTACTTCAACATTGAACTTATACTTTTTCTTTTTCATCATAAAGGCCATACCAGGGGCGCTAGGCCCAAGTAATGTCATACAGTTTTAACCAATAAACGCACAAACCGGATATCGCTGTTTGGCCGAAAAAAACTAACGAAACACTTTCGAAGTTAACTGCGACGAGGGAAAATTACATCGGCAGCGTACAACAACCAAAGGGGTTGGTTAAAAACACCCAAAACACCGACAAAAAAAAAGGAATGAAGAGAACACGAACTCAAAGCGCACTTGAGCGGTTTTACAAAATCTGTTGTAACGGTTTTGTTATGTTTTGCGAGTGATGAATTAAAAAATTAAAATAAACACTAAAAAGTGTTGAGGTTTTGAGTAAAAAGTTTTGTAAAAAAAAAAGCAGACTACGCTTGAGCAGCTGAAACACAGAAGGGCTGGAAAACTTTTGTTACGTCGTTGCTTTACGGATTAGCTGATTGTTTTTGTTTTAATGGTGGATTTATTTTATATCTTTGTTGTATATTTCTGTTTTGTTGTTGTTTTCTGCTTATTTGCTGTTGTTGTATTTTTTATAACAATTCTTCGCACTTAAGTTGGTAGCCACATGGTGCGCCAGATACCGCTGCGTGGATTTGCTTTAAAGCCAACGTTTTTGTTGTTGTTGAAATTTCAGCATTTGTCGATATTCAAAGTGCCACAACTGCAAATAAAAGAAAAAAAAACATTATTAGGTATGATTGTATAGAAGTTTAATTGAAATAAAACCATTCAAAAGAGAGCCATGAATAAAGTGAGGTTATGGCCACTGCCGTTTGCCTAACGAATTGCACAAATTAACCTTAAGCTCGGGAGATTCAATTTTCAATTAAAATGTGATTATAAAACAAGTTGCTTGCACATTCTTAGTATCACTTCGCCTACCGATTACAGCACTAAAAGCTAATTGTAAATGGTAGAGTACCGTTGTCAAGACTGCAGCGAAACGAAGATGGTGGTGGAAAAGTAGACTTAAAAGCCTTAAAGCTGCTACTCATTTAGCATGGAAATTCTAAACCTGAAGACATTTTATGCCTCTTTGATATCTTTTAATAGAAATTAAATTAGAAATTTTGAGAAAAATGTTTGGTGATGCTGCAAATATGATGAACTTATAAAGCGTGTTTTTTTTTTTATAAAATATATATAATTTTTATATATAATTAGTAGTCAGATACCATAAATATTTAATTTTTTTCATGTGTTGTTTTTTTTTTACTTTGTAATTACTTATTCAGAGGCACGTGTAAGCATTCACAAAACTAAGTTTAAGTACTAGTTATTGCAATTAAGCTGTTTTTTTTGCTCAATTTATTTGTCTTTGGAGTATGAGTTCACTGCTCTCGTTAAAATGCTGAATGCAATAAAAACTGCTTACGTAAAATAACAATAAATGGGAAAAATTGCGTAGGTGTAAATGTAGCTGACGCAACCATTGAAAAAAAAATAATAAAAATAAATTTATGCAAACAAATAAACCAAAATCACAGCTAAAACTCAAACACAATAAAGCCAGAAAAAATTGCACTAAATTAAGCATTAAAATTAAGTTTATATTTGCTAATTCTAAAATTATAAAAAAATGTAATCGAAATTTAATAGAAAAAAGTGAAAAAATGATAATAATAGTAGTCACATGATTTACAAAAAAAAAAAGTTTTATGAAAAAAAAGTAAACCAAAATTTACCAATAGGTATACAATTCTGATAAATTGAAGTTAATAAGACAACAAATTGCAAAAAAAAAATTTTTAAATAATACCAAAATTTTCAATTGGTCTAAAATCCTGGAGTTAATAATAGTAGCTACATTAGTTACAAAAAACTAAACTTAATTAAAATTAAAAAAAAATTACCAAAATTTACCAATAGGTATACAATTCTGAAAAATTGTACCAAATGACACAACAAATTGCAAAAACAATTATTGCAAAATTCAATTGTTATTAAATTCTGGTTATTAAATTCCAAGTAGATATATAAAACATACTACTAAGAATAATAGAAATCAAATTAATAAAAAAAAAAATTCAATACAACAGTTTATAAAAAAAAAAGTATACCAAAATTTACCAAGTGATATAAAACTTTGATAAATTAAACCAAATACAACCAGAAATCGCCAAAAAATATTAAAAACATCATTATACCAAATTTTATTAATTGGTATAAAGCTCCGATAAATTGATCAAAATAATATAACGAACTGTAAAAAAATTGAAAAACAAACTTATACTAGAATTGACCAATTGGTATAAAACTCTAATACATTGAACAAAAAAAAAACATAAGAAATTGCAAAACAAAATTTAAAAGTTATACCGAAATTTACCGATTGGCAATTTGTGATAAATGGAACAAAAAAAGCCATTAAATTGCGAAAGAATTATTCCAAAATTTTCCTATTGGTATAAACTTCAAATTATTGAAATACGATTATAGAAACACATAGTGGTATTGAAATTAACTCAAAACAAAAAAAAAAAAAACAATTAATACATTAAAATTTAAAAGAAAATTTGTAATAAAATTTACCAGTTTATATAAAACTCTGGAAATTTAAACTGAGCAAGACAAGAAATTGAAATAAAAAAAATTTTACATATTTTTCAAGTGGTACAAAATAAAAAAAAGGTCTTAACGAAATCGGATGCAAATATAATTTGAATACAAATAAATAAAATATAAATAAAAAAAATTATCGATGAATTTCAATCGTTAGCTATTGTAAAAAGCCTATAGATTCCTAAATCAAAGAAATGCACTTATGGCTATCGACTTTTATTTTCGTATATTCATTGCTGGATATTTTTCTCTGTCTTAATTTAAAGAGAGCAGTTGCTCTTCTCCCACAAATTATATTGGTTGTGATATGATATACAAGAATAGCGTTTTAGGCTCATTGTTCATTAAACTGAAAATTAGTTTATAGCTTATCGATATTCAGAAGTTTTATTTATCGATACATTTTAATCGATAACTGTAATAATGCCATATTTTCAAAATTTTGATTTTCTATATCTTCTGACAAAGACTTAACTTTCCTAATTTTTTTTTTAAATTTTTTTAACCAAAAAATCTGTCCAAATGTGATTAGCTATCGACATGAATGTTTAAAAATATACACGTAATTGAAATTATTTAGCATTTTTTTCTCTATCCTTATTTTAGGCAAGAAATATATGCTGCATTTCGATTATTTAAGATTTTTATTTAACTTTTTTTTTATTTACACCGTTTGATTTACTTTTGTAAATAATTAGCTTCGCTTTCAAAGTTTCTGCTGTACGATAGCTGAAAAATTGATTTTTTATCGATAATGTTTTTTTTAATTTTCCATAACATATGCATTTCTCGCTAGCGCTTATTTGATCCAAATATACATTGGCCTCTGGTGATTACAATAATTGTATATTATTTACTGCGTTTTTTCACTCTCTGACTATCGATAACGATTTTTTTCGATTACTTCCGATTTTTATCGATAATAAATTTTCTTTAATTTTTTTCATAGCAAAAACATCTTTTTAACTATTCAAAAATCTTTCAATATATATATGATTTAATGACATTTTTTCAAAAATGTTAAGAATTAGAATTAAAATTTAATTCTTGTGACAAACATGTTGTATAAATTTTAAGTACATCAATGTTTTCTAGTTGAGTATTTAATTTAAAAGCTGCCTAAGCGAATTCTGTCAAATGTAAACCCGCATTCCAAAATTATAGGTTGCAAGCGCCTAAAAGTATACACGTGTTTGTTTGCCAATTCACATGTACTTAATAGCTACACATTTTTACTCCTTGTAGGACTTTATTGCGACCAAGAAAATAGTGCTGCTTAAGGCTATTAAAAATCATTTATTTATTACCATAAGTTAAAAAACTTAAAAAATTACTGTAAGTGGAAAAGATATCTAGCTATGATTACAAAATTAATCAACGTTGATTGAAAATACATTAGAACTTTCTAAATGATCTATCACCATTAAACTAAACACATTTTAGCTTTTCTTTTTCCCTACAGGACCCAAAAGTGTGCTGTATAGGTGCGACTGTCGCATCATTGGTGTCGTTAGCATGCTTTTAGGCGCACCAGAGCTATTACGAGCGCAGTCAAACCGACCAACAGCAACTCGCATGCAATAGTTGATACGAGTGGCAGCGGACCGCAGGAGCAGACACTTGCTCTGACTCAATGCTACCAAAATAGAAAGTAAAATCATTAAATCATTAAAACCGGTGGGCGTTATACAAATAAAAATATTTGCGTGTGGACGAAATCAGCACTTTGGCCATTGAAATAATACTTAACCCACAACTCTGGGCTGTTATGCATCACTTATGGCGCGTCAAAACTTAATGGCGCAGCACAGAGTGACCAAAGTATTACGAGTGTGGGCACGGATGTGTGATTAAGCTTTTTCGCGTGCCACAGAGTTGGAAATATACGATAATTAATTGTAAAGGCAAACATGCAATTTGTTTGGGTGCGTTGCCAGTTTTCAGAATTTAGTGAAAATAGAGAGCGGAGAAAGTGCTAAACGAGTTTGTGTCGGACATTAAAATTAGTATGAGACGTTTCCGGATTGTGGGAGTATAAATAGAGAGTAAAGAGCTAGAGCGAAAATGTCAAGTGAAAAGACTATGTTATTAAAATTTGTAACAATTTATATAGTTTTTAGTTTTTTTAGTGACACTCCTAAATTTAGGCAACATTTTGTTTATAATATTGCATACAACAGCCTTTAGCCTACATTTCTGCGTTTTAGCGAAGACACATACCTAATATGAGTACTCTTACTACCTTTAAATAATAATAAAGCCACTTCATTAAAATAACGTTTTTATTCCCACAAGTTCCATACAAAATACGTAACTTCAGTAAATTAACAACCGCATTTTAAATAATTTTTTTTTCACTTTTTTCATAATAAAAATGTTCAATGCAATGCAATTAAATCCATTTTTATTATATACTCCTTACAAACGCGCTTTATTAATACAAATATTAAGTGAACTCTAACCCCTTGAGGAACCTGCATGACCCCATTTATTACCGTTTACACAGCCACATACTCATCTGCTATGGCACGGCATGTGTGTCAGCAGTTCATTCATTCATGCCAACCCATAAATGCTGAGTGCAGCTGCACCTAAATTCGTGCTGAGCTCGGCGCGGTAAAATATACTATGCTAGTATGTTATGGAAAATTGTGGCCGCATTTATGCAACGACTGCTCAAAGCGATACGTAACGAAACGAACTAATAACCGAAAAAGTCAATTGACCCAGTTGTGGCAGGATGTTTGTAGAGAGGTATGCGTGTATATGAATGCCTTTGAGAAGCCTTGACTTTCTACAAACGAAGAACTAATCGACCAGCCAACTAGTCGGTTGTGTGACCATAAACGGTTACGTATGCGTTTCGGATGGGGTTAGAGGCGTACAACTTGACCTGTATGTGCAACGAGCTGAAGAATGAGTTTAGAAAGAAAAGCAAATAATAAGAAAACTGTGATTTACTTTAGTAAGGGAAACTTATGAGTAAGCTGAAAAGTATATATTAAAATATATGATAAATTTTTGAGAGCATGGAGGGATGAAGATATTGCGGAAGAATACGTCTACAATTGTAAACATTTTTTAGTATATATATTCTAG